CATTTCTAGAAGTTCCCTGTCAATGTACTGCTATAACCATTTTTTAATTATCTTCGGTAAGATTTTACTTGCATGTGATATTAATGATATTGTTCGGTAATTTCCACATTCTGTGGGATCACCTTTCTTTGGAATGGGTACAAATATGGATCTCTTCCAGTCAGTTGTCCAGGAAGCTGTCTTCCAAATGTCTTGGCATAACCAAGTGAGTGCCTCCAACGGGGCATCTGTTTGTTGAAATATCTCAGTGGGTATTTGTCAATTCCTGGAGCCTTGTTCTCTGGCAATTCCTTCAGTGCAGCTTCGACTTCCTCTTTCAGTACCATTGGTTCTAGATCATATGCCACTTCTTGAAGTGGATGAAGATCGACCAGTTCTTTTTGGTACAGTGACTCTGTGTATTCCTTCCATCTTCTTTTGATGTTTCCTGCATCATTCAATATTTTGCCCATAGAATCTCTCAATATTGCAACTCGAGGCTTAAATTTTTTCTTCAATTCTTTCAGCTTGAGAAATACTGAGCATGTTCTTCCCTTCTGGTTCTCTAACTACAGGTCTTTGCACATTTCATTAAAGTAACTGGCTTTGTCTGCTTGAGTTGCTCTTTGAAATCTTCTGTTAAGCTCTTTTATCTTGTCATTTCTTCCATTTGCTTTTGCTACTCTCCGCTCAAAGGCAAGTCTAATACTCTGAAGTTAAGTTTCCAGTTAAGCGATTTAGAAGGTAGAAGCATTTAGGTTTGAATTATAGCTATGGGAGTTGGTGAGATCACCCACAGAGAATGGGGCAAGCCTCAGAAGCCTCTGGGGCAGGGGGAAAACAGTGTGTGGTTTGTGGCAGCCGAGGGAAAGGAGCACCTCTGAGGGTAGGACCAGTGCCCAGGAGGAGTCAGGTGACAGGGACTGCAGAAGAGCCATCAGACTTGACCAAAGTCACTTGAGTGAGAGCAGTTTCCAAGAAGTGGCAGTGGTGGAGCAGGGTGCCCTGGTTGGAAACCGTTTTGATAAATACCTCTGGGTAGTGGAAGGGAGGGGCTAATGGCTTGGGAATATACTAAATTTTTTTTCCATAAAAAGTCCGTATGTAGACTGGTTCCAACAAATTAGTTTAGACAGATTAGCCATGCCCTTGATGACCCACTTCCCTTTTGCATCGTTGATGACCCACTTCCCTTTGTCTTTCTGCTGTGCCAGTGTTGTGCATATTGTCTACTGTCCTTAGGCAGTGCCTCTCTCATTGCCTCTTTTAACCCAGGACTCTGAGTATGATCAATTAATTGTACCATTGTGGAGTAGAGAAAATGTTTCTAGGCACTTGAGTCCATGCCACCATTTTACTTCTTTGTTGAATTACTGGAGTGACCTTTTGTCTCCCTACTTCTTTTCTTCCCTTTCTAAAGTAGCCACACAAGCCAAAGTGATCTTTGTCATAGATGATGGGGCACCCCTGTATAAAATGGCATTAGTTTCCAGCCCGGAGTGAGACCTGATAACTATAAACATGGCCTGGGAGGCCCTACAAGATTTGGCCCCAGCTACTATTTCATCTCCTCTCATCTAAATAGCATCCACTATCTTTTTCCACCCTATTCTTTGTTTTTCTTCATAGCTCTTACTACGTTAGAGATTCATCTGTTTGTCTCTGCCTATAGAATGTTCCCTATGTGTGGGGGCTTGATCTGTTTTTTTTTTTTTTTTTTAATTATTAGGATTTGGGTGAAGATTTACAAAGTAAATTCACTTT